GTTTTAAGCCTTTTCAAAAACAACAGATTTTCACTGATTTGCCAAAATTGAAAAAAAATACCATTTGTGAGTTAAATGTATTATAACTTAATTTTTTTGTTGTTGATGTTTTTAAATGTAAAATACCAAATAATGCGCCTGACGTTTTTTAGCACCACAATCGCAGTCAACAAAGAGGTTGCACTGTTAATTAATTAAATGTGATTTAAACTGTAGAGTGATTGTAGTAACTATTACAGCCTTGATCATATTTGAATGGCTCTGTCCCAGGTTGCACTTCTTTGCTCGGGATGGAGGGTGGATCCATCGTGGAGTCCCAGATTTCAGCCTCCTCTGTGCACTACGGCATTATGGGTCTTCAGCGATGGGGCCCGGATCTGGCTCGACTCAACAACCAAGGCATCGTCAACGCCTGGACGTCAGCCGCCCATGACAGGAACCCCTGGATCGAGGTGGGACGAGTGAACACTTTCATTTCATTTCATTTCAAACCTTTATTTATCCAGGTTGTATCCCATTGAGATCATTGATCTCTTTTTCAAGGGAGACCTGCTTTAAAACATGAGGCTTGTGAATGAAAGCTGTGCAGCTGACTTGCTAACTTGTTTACAACAGATCGATATGCAGAAGAAGATGCGTCTGACGGGCATCATCACTCAGGGAGCCAGTCGCATGGGCACGTCAGAGTACATCAAGGCCTTCAAGGTGGCAAGCAGCTTTGATGGGAACCTTTATCTCACTCACAGAGCTGATGGCCAACGGAGGGACAAGGTTAGAGGCCTTCTCTTGTGATAAACGGGTTATTTACAATGTTTACCAGCTGACAACGTCCCTTTCTTTAGCTAACTTGGCTATTTTCTGTGTCTGTGTGTGCCATAGGTATTCATTGGCAACGCAGATAACGACAGCACAAAGACCAACCTCTTTGACCCTCCTATCGTAGCCCAGTACATCCGCATCATCCCTGTGGTGTGCCGCAGGGCCTGCACGCTGCGCATGGAGCTGGTGGGCTGTGAACTCAATGGTAAACACACAGAAACATGCCCTTTACAATTCTAATGCAACACAGCAAGTGAAAAACTTGGCAGATAACAATGGAGATGGAAAAAACGAATGTGATGTTAAAGAAAAAGAGCAGATGGATGACCTTGTTTGACTGTCTTTATCTGTTCTTGATGTGGTTATAGCAAAGAACATGATGACAGACAAACCTCACTGCGCAACAATCAAAGCAGCAATGCCAAGTTGGCTTGCATAGAGAGAGAAAAACACATTTCTGTCTTCTCCACCTCCATTGTTTTGTCCTTCTTTGAACATAACAGGTCAAACATTTACAGAGAAACATTGTGAGTGTTTGTACACAGTGTGCTTGCATTCTTCTACTTTCTTCGCCACATTCTATTCCTTCTTCTTGGTGATTCGCGGGTGTATAAAATGATTTCAATCAGTCTTATTCTCCTGAATTGTTCAAATTGTATTTAAACGGTGAACTTAATTTCTATGGGTGTATTCATCTTTTTTTCTTTCCTCTTTCCCTTTCTGTCGCTTTGGTTTCCACTCCCTCCGTCTTTCCGTCTGCTTTTGATTCACAGTTCATTCAAACACGGTAGGTTGCTCAGAGCCCCTGGGAATGAAGTCCCGCCTCATCTCAGACGGGCAGCTAACGGCCTCCAGCTCTTACCGCACGTGGGGCATCGATACCTTCACTTGGCACCCTCAGTTTGCCCGACTTGATAAGCAGGGAAAGACCAACGCCTGGTCTCCTGCACACAACAACCGCTCCGAGTGGATCCAGGTAAGGGAAAACCTCAGCAGTAAAATGTGATTATTGGTTAAGGGTGTCCTTTAAAGCAAGCAGTATAACAGTTGTCCTTGTTCCCTCACCAGGTCGATCTGGAGAAGACATCGCGTCTCACAGGCATCATCACTCAGGGGGCCAAGGACTTTGGAGTGGTGCAGTTTGTGTCAATATTTAAAGTAGCTTACAGTAACGATGGAGAGTCTTGGAGTACAGTGAAGGAGGAGAAAACTGACTCTGATAAGGTGAACCCCTCAAATGTATTGACTTGATACAGGATACTGTATATGCATGTCTTTGTAAATTAGTCAATGCAGATATTTTTTGAAAAGGCTCTTAGATTGTTTAATCATTGAAATATCTCCTTCTGAAGTGTTTCTGTCATAAACCATAGTCTCTTAAAGTCACACACAAACCTTACAGTTTGTATTAAATAAGTCCAATATGTCAGCCTCCCTTCTGTCCTCTCTTTCTCTTTATACAAACATATATTTTTGCTGAACGAGTAGAACCATAGCTTCTTTTTTTGGGAGGACTAGAATATTTTTAGCTACAATAGCAGGACCAAGATGATCCAACTTTCTTTCTTTTTTTTCGGTCGTAAGGTTGTAATATGATTTACAATCCCTGAAGACATTTGGTGGATTTATTAACTTAATGTGCAGTTTGATCTCTTTTTCAGAATTGTCACATTTAACAGAACATGCTTTGCAATAACATCCACACAATAAATTATTATTTTGTTTTACTTGTCATTCCTTTGCAGCTTTTCCAAGGCAACACCGACAACAACACCCACAAGAAGAATCTGTTCGAGCCTCCGTTCTACGCCCGATACGTGCGCGTGGTCCCCTGGGAGTGGCATGAGCGCATCACTCTGCGGATGGAGCTGCTCGGCTGCGATGATTAAAAACTCACGTATTATGTAACAGTGCTGAGGAATGAGAGGAATGGATCTCAAACACAATCATTTGTCCTGTACTCCCTTGGGCTTCTCTGAACAACGATCCTGGACTGTAACACTTGTAGCACTTTTTGACTAGTGACCTTTTTATGTTTTATTTAATAACATTGTTTGACATTGCTCACTGAGAAACGTCTACAAAGTACAAATGGTTCAATTGTAATAGCTTTGGATAATAACTAAATGAGCTATTAGTGTTTATTATTTGTTTACTCTAAGAATTTTAATGCATTTTAGGTTCTTTTAAGCCTGTAGACACGATAATAGGGCTCTTCACCTCATCCAGCTGAGTACAACTTTGACTAATTGCTCTTCCTTTGCTGTCCAACACTACATTTTAGTTTTAACATTCTGCAAAGGGCCGATAACAAACATCCTCACAAGCACACCCACTGCATCTCACTTTGGCCGACTTTGTAGCACAATAGCAACTATAATGACGCAGGGCCTGTGCAATGTAGAGTATAGCATTTTCAACTATCCTGGAAGAGATAGTAAAAACCTTTTAAATATCGATCTTCAGTACCCTGAAGCGTCCATCATGCAACATCATTTTTTTCACATTTTAGCAATTTAATTCTAATTGAATCATGTTTACAACAGTGTGAAATATGTAGACATTTGTATAGAAAATATACATTGTTTTACATTCTTTTTTTATTAATAATATGCATTGTTGGTCTTTAAATGATACCATGTATTAAATAAAAATAATTGTTTTGCACACAACATTTCTTTGTCAATCAGCTGATATCTTGAATGTCACCGGTTACATAAGCCTTTATTTCCCACTGCTCGTTATAACAGTCCTGTTTGGTCTGACAATGTCAGAGTGGGTGTAAGTGGCAGATTTCTGCATGAACAGACTGGTCAGTGAGGCCAGAGAGGACACAAAGGAGCATTTAGGAAGCTTCTGCATTGTTCAGATGTTGATATCATCAAAAAGACATATTTTGTGTCCAATCATTGCCCAAAGCTAACATGAAAGGAAGATACAGGATATTTTATTATTTAAGCAGAATCAAAAAGCAAACATTTTGAGGAAATAATATGCCATCAGTCGCATCCTGCTTTCTTGCACCACACTAAGCTGTTGTGAGTCTTCTCCATTTTGGACTACTGGGCTTTTGCCTGCTGTCTACTAGAGTAATTACACCCTGTTAGACACTCGTCTCCCTGCTAAGCTCACAGCCCTGGTATGTTTGGCCCCTGGCAAAGTCTATGATATAAATGAGGTGGAAGACGGAGCATTTCAAACACATCTGTCCACACTGTGTATGCCATTCCTTATATGCGTGGGAGTGTATTTATGTAACATAGCAGGGTTTCCTATAAAAGATCACAGTGCTTCGAGGTAAAAAAAAGTCAGCCAACAGCTGGGCTGATATAGGGACCCTCTCTAGACATCTGCTTTCAGAAGGTTTAAATGGGAAGCAATGGAGTTTTCTCCCAAGATACTCCTACACAAACAGCTGCAAAACATGAGACTATTTATTAAGGAGGGTTTTCTATAATTAAAACAAAAGTGATACTCTCACTTGTGTTTGTGGGAGCAGGACAAAAATAACTCACACTAAAGGAAAGTCAATCACGTATTGCACTTAACCTGTTTTGTAGTATATAATGTTATCACTTTTGATAATACTTTATTTATATTTAACTGTCGCCCTAAAAACTGAATGGTTTGGTAGAACAAGATGGTGTTTGAAATTGGAAATCGATCAACATTTTTCAGTTAAATCATTTCCTTTTTAAATATTTGAATGTAGCTATTTTTGCAAACAAGTTTGGAAAATGTAATAGTAAGTACATTTTTTACATTACATTTTAGACTGTTAAATATAATGCAAAAAGCAACATTTGTTCCTATTTGACATCAGTCGAAAAACTATACATTTAAAACACTGATGGATGGGGAGTTCTCTATAGCCTACCTGACATCCTGTCCTCCCTCACTCACAGGTTGGAGAAACGCACACAGGTAAGTTTCCAGTCCTACAGCCTGATAGCGACAGAGCATTACAGCCCTACGTCTCAGTTGGAACACTGAACACTCTTATCATTAACTCACTAAACCTGCACAATATTTGTATTCGACAGAAACTAGAAGAAGCTCATTTATGCCTTTTGTTCGTTTACCGCAAACCCATTTGGCGCATCAGACCTTCTGCGACCTCTTGGAGAAACTCACTTGTTCCCAGCAGCAGACTTCTGACTTTTGTGCCACAGCATCAAAGCTTTCCTTTCGACAAGGATTGACACCTCGCAAGCAAAATATCAAGGTGCTTGGGTTCTTTACGGTAAGTGAGGATAAATCAAAATAAACAAAATGACTGTGTGTCAAATATAGGCTATACGTAATCGTTCTAGGCTCATATGAGAGTTCTTAATTTGTTTAATAAGCTTCATTAGCCTATACAACAAAAGATACAGATTATTATTATGACCGCGGTGAGGTTGATTTTTGGACTGTTAGCAGTCAGGCGAGATCACACCCGAGACCATTAATAAATTACCGTACAAATCAATGTTACTTGCAATACTTCTGTGCTTGCTAGCTCATTTCGATGAGAGTTGTGCTAAAAGAAAAAGCATAATTAAACGTTTTTGTATGCTGGATTTTAGTCCACCTTGTATTTTATATTAAAGTTGTTAATAAAATGTGCTTGTTATTTAAAAGTCTCGATTTTCTTTCAATAGCTTCGTCACGTGACCAAGTGACTCCAAATCAGTTCAGCATTTTATTATACACTTGACACAACTATTTTTATTGGATTTGAATCCAGCTTCTGTTTATTTAACTATCTTTTCTGATATATTTCATATCATGTGGCCCAGTGACAACTCCACACAAGGTATTATTACAGAGGACAAATTAGACACATCTCTTTTTTTTTTATTGGATTTGGGTTTATAGTCCACCTTCTTTTCTATACAAATATATTAGTATGGACATTTCAGCATTTATTTCCTTCCATGACATGTGACTTGGGGACACCAGATCCCACAAAAGAGATGTGTCCTATTTGTTTAGTGTGTCATTTTGTAGTGATTTGGAGCCACTTGGTTACATGACTCTCAAAGCTATTAAAATCTAAATAAAGGATTTTTTCCGTTTCATCAGTCAAATTATGCCCTTAATTTACATGTTGTAGCCTTCAAACAGACCTTTAAAACTATGTAATTAATTTACTTTGATGTCATATAAATCAGTTATCAGAAGCAGTATATTGTGGTGCCAAAATGCAGACGCATTATTTTTTACTGACTATAGTTGATAAACATCATATGTGTAATTCGTGGCACAATTCAAACGGGATCGAAAGATAATCTTTCTCTCTCCATTGACTTCAATGCATAACTTTTCCGAAATAAGGTCCCATGGAGCTCAACCGGAAGGGGAGGGACTTCGCCTCTCTATTCGCCAAATTACATTTTCATAGAAAATAGTCAGAGCTCACTAACAAGGTGTTGTGCTGCCCTCTACTGACAATCTCCTGTAGAAGCATCCAAAGTTAAAAATACAGAAGTCTGTGTGTCAACTGAAAACTCTAGCAAAAACAATGCAAGCATAATTATTCCACTGTGCTTTAAGGGACTTACAAGCCAAGCCAGATTCCTCTCTGCAGGCTTTAGGGTGGCACAGAGACCACTAATATCAGGGTGTTTCTCCTGTCCCCACAGACAGGATGATGATCTGTTGCATCCAAACCCTGCTGTTGTTGGGTGCTCAGCTGGCTCTTTCAATCCCCAACAACTTCTTCTACCATGACTTTCGCAAAGGAAATGGAAACAAAGAATGTATGCACACAATCAATACATTATTTTTGTAAAATTGTTTTAATGTGTTCTTTCAGTCCATCCTTTAAACTCCATTCTTGTATGTAATGTCTATATTTCCTATAGTTCACTTCAGTGGTGTGAAGCTCCATGTGGACTCTGCTCAGCCTGCAGTGTTTGCAGCCACAGGGGATAATGTCACGCTGCCATGCAGGTTTTGGTATGAGCCCGAGTTGACCTCACCAAGGGAACCCCGGGTCAAGTGGTCCTGGCAGCCTGCAGCTGGGGGACATGAGACAGACGTGCTGGTGGCTATCGGCTCTCGAAGTCGAAGTTTTGGGGAATTCAGGTTGATAAAAAAAATGAATAATGATTATATATTGTTATCTTATTAGGGACTGTATGATCTTGTTTGTCTTTTAACTCACAGTATGTCTCTTGGTCAGGGGTCGTGTGCAGATCAGACAGGATTTCCCAGGAGACGCCGCACTTGTGATGACTAACCTAATGTTAAATGATACAGGCCGTTACCACTGTGAGGTCGTGGACAGACTGGAGGACAAGAGCACTTCAGTTTATTTGGAGTTACGAGGTATATGTACACTGATACACTGCTCTCCATTCTCAAGAGGCAATAAGAGTCCAACAATACTCTTATATATTATATTCAGAGATACATTTTTTAAAAGATAGGCAGATGTTTAGAAGACAGGCTTGTTGTAATCTTTGCACTTGATTAATATATTCTATTCTTCTGTACAAAGAGATTAATTTCAATCTCTTTATTGTCCCTCCAGGCAAAATTAGGTTTACAGTGGGCAAAAACACAAACATAAAAGAGGACCTGGGCAATTAATGGTAACTGTCACAGCAATGAAGTAAAACATATTATTTTTCCCGTAAAACTATCAAACTATTGTAATAGTAGCTATTATGAAGTGATGCTGAAGATTTTTTGTGGTAGAATGTTGATGAATGTAAACGTTTTTTTCACAGCAGACATTTTTTCAGAGACAAACAGGTATTATATTAACAATAACGAGGTAAAGTGTCCCAGTGAGTAACACTGAAGGCCTCTCATCATTTCCTCCACCCAGGTGTGGTGTTTCCCTACCAGCACCCTCGTGGTCACTACCACCTCAGCTTCCTGGCAGCCCAGCAGGCCTGTGAGCAGCAGGCCTCCACACTGGCCACCTTCTCCCAGCTCTTCCAGTCCTGGAAGGAGGGCCTGAACTGGTGCAATGCAGGCTGGCTGGCTGACGGGACCGTCCAGTACCCCATGACCCGGCCCAGAGTGCCCTGCGGAGGGGACGGCCTGGCCCCAGGTGTCCGGAGCTACGGCAGACGGCACCTGCAGCTTCATCGTTATGATGTCTTTTGCTTCTCCTCTACACTCCAAGGTGAGATGGTGTGAAACCTAACAATGTGATAGGTTCAAAATATGGTTCCAGAGAAGCTCTTTTTCAGAATCTATAACAGAAAAAAATGATTTAAAATGATTACGAGTGTCTCACCTGAATATTATCTTTATGTGCAGGACAGTTTGAAGTAAATTAGCAGAATTACCTTTATTTTAAGTCAACAGTCTCACTCTTGGACGTCTGCTGTCTAATGTTGGAGGTCTGAAACACAAACACTTTAAACTATCATATCCAGTCTGCAGAGAGTTCTCTTAATAATAACAATACATATGTTTTCTTCAAAGGTAAAGTCTACTATCTGCAACCCTCTCACACGATGAACCTGACGGAGGCCCAGCAGGCGTGCCAGGAGGACGGAGCACAAGTCGCCAAAGTGGGACAGCTGTACGCCGCCTGGAAGCTCTCAGTGCTGGACCGCTGCGACGCAGGCTGGCTGGCTGATGGAAGCGTTCGGTATCCCATCACCAGGCCCCGGAGAAACTGTGGCCCCTCAGAGCCGGGGGTGCGCAGTTTCGGCTTCCCTCCTCCACAGCACAAACACGGGGTCTACTGCTACAAGTCAGGGGATGAATTAATGTAGAACCATTTTCTAATTGGGGGTCAGAAATGCAAAGATGGCACAATTTTCTCAAAAACGTGTATCCTTATGAGCATTCTTGTCATTATAACTGTGTAAACTTTGGAACCCTAAGCCTAAGTGTGCAGTGAGGATTAACAGGAGGGAAATAGCAGAATTTTTTTTTTTAATTAACATGCATTCACATTTTACTTCAGATGTATGTAACATACCTTTGAGTGCTAATGCCTTGTATTTGTATGTAGAGATTATGTTTGTATGGTTTTGAATACGCTTTCAAAATGATTATGAAGAACAGACAACCCATTATTACCACCTTCTTGTCTTGCGTGTAATGCAGTAATTTCCTAGAATGCATGGTTCGAGCTATTTCCGAGTAATGTCTTCACTGTCCTTTGTAAATGCATGTGACAATAAAAACGTTAGTTAGAAGAGAGTTGAGTTTCTCCTATTACTGTACGTCATCCTCCTCTCCCTCACTTGTACAATTGACAATGATAACAAAAGAAATGGAAGAAGCAGATGGGAATCAATCAACTATGATATTCACAGGAGAAACAGAACATAAACCAAAGACAAATTAGAAATATCAAAAAAAGATCACTTGATACTGTAAACATCAACAAGCCATTATAATTCTGCGTATTTCAAGTAAAAAAAAAAGTTCTTACAAGACAATGTTCTGTATGTTTGTATAGAAGACAGACATTGAAGCAAGGTATATTTACATTCAAACATTTTCTACACAATATACTCTTTATTTATTAAAATAAAAATGTTGCAACTTGTGATGACAATGTTAAAAATTGCTTTAAGTTTGGGGCATGCTTTATATATTTGGAGATAACAGTAATATGATTTTGTAGAATTAGTCAATTACCCTACTATCAATTTGTTTTCAAACACAAATAAATCATCTAAAGCTCAACATTTAAAATAAAATAAACAGTAGTGTTTCCCTCTCTCTGTGGGAAACACTACTGTGTGTGTGTGTGTGTGTGTGTGTGTGTGTGTGTGTGTGTGTGTGTGTGTGTGTGTGTGTGTGTGTGTGTGTGTGTGTGTGTGTGTGTCTGTTTTTGTGTGTGTCTGTTTTTGTGTGTCTTTTGATCTAAAAAACACCTGAAAAAGAGAAGTAGCAACACTTGTCTAACTGCAGGTTTAATCACAGCCAGCAGATGGCAGTCACATGTTTGGATGCTTTTGGGTGAACAATAAGAGCAGAACAAAATGTGCAGAAACTATTAAACAATATAAACTCTCTCAGTTACATCACAAATAAACAACCTTTAATGAAATTGAAGGTTTACACCACCATGCGTCATGATCCACCAACAGTATCACACGGCCAGATTGAATCAATGGATTTAAAAGATTGTCATGAATTTACTGTGAACAAACTGCAGTCATGCAGAAAATGTGGCATTTATGGTAATACAATCATATTAAATGTGAAGAATGCAGAATGACAGAAATGTGACTGCTGGAAATCAGAGGTGAAATGTGACGGCCGAACAGGGAGGGGGAGGAGAGCGAAGGAGCATAGAGAACACAGTGTACACTCACAGAAGTGTGTTCACGTACTCCTCGGTCTCTCTCAGGTTTATGAGACATACGTATGGGGGGCAGTGTGATATTTGCCATGTGGCTGGTTTTAGTGTCTCAGGCCTTCATGTCAGGAAACACAATGACAAATGATTTGGTTATAAAATCACTCACGGCTGAGGGTTAACTTAGTCTCAGTGTGGATCTCAGTTCATGTGTTCTGTTCATTAAGCTATGAAAATGATCATACTTACTGCTTTAGCAACCAGAAAGTGCCAAGTTCAAGGTTAATGCAATATTGAATTATTAGGAAATAATACTCATGAATAGGACTGTGTAATGTCCACAACAACTGAAATATGTTGAAAGGAAGTGGATTCATGCTCTGACCTCCACACCCATGACTGAAAGTGCGTGACACAATATTTGTGTGAGTGGACACATACTAATTTAGGCATTTATTCAACTCACGGCAAATTAGCAAAGAAAATAAGTTACTTGGAAAAAGAAGAGCCAACTGAAAAATAAAAGAGTGCCAAATGAAAAAATGCTCCATCTTGCTTGACATGATGTTTATAAAATTGTTTAGTCAAATCCTTATTTTTTTCTTGTCAGTCACTGAACCAAGTATTTCCATTTTATGCTACCTGCTTTTTTATGTCGTTTTTACTAATACTTCTATACTCCACTAGATTTCTGTTGATGTACTTCATTCATCTGTCAGTTACAGTTAGTCATTACTTTTCAGATTTACATTTTTCTTACAAATCACATTACTGGGATATAAAAACGTGATAAAGAAAAAAAAACAGAAGTCTATAAAGTAATTATTATTATCAATCTTTTCCGATTCCAACAATTAAATACTGCTTCCACTGTAATGCATCAGTAATAATACAACTACAACCACTAATAAAATTAACAATAACAATAATTATTATTACTATAATTATAATAATGTTATTAATAATAATAATAATAATAATAATAATAGTAGAATATCCAACGTATAATAATGGATCATAACACTGACAGAAGCCATTCTACCTTACAATGAGTCCTTATACTTAATTACATTTTGATGATGACAACCATACATTTAAGACATACACTAAAGTTTTGTCACATTTTTCTTGGTATTGCTTCAGCACACATAACTAAAGGATCTGAGTACCTCTTCTATCACTGGTTAGTGCATGTGATACATCAACACTACACCACTTACACGGCTGATCAATGACACAACCGTAAAACTGTCTTTTGATATTTATTCCTTCAGCTGTTGGTAGAATCAGACATGGTTAAGCTGCAAATGTGCTATCTGAAAGTGCTTTGTTCAAACTCAAAGGACACATCTAATGTGATGCATGCTGTAGGTAATACTGTTACCTGTAGGCATAAAGCAGACAATTGAGGATTCCCAGAAAAGGCCTTCCTTACTGAAATGAGGCATGAAAAACATGATTATCCCTGGTGTCATTCCAAGAATCTCCCAGTCACATTTAAAAACTAAACGTGTTATCAATGAGGTAAAATGAGGATAAAGAGTTAGGTGGAAAATGTTCATTTGACATATGGACCCCAGCTCAAGCTATGTATATATTTTTAATAATGTTTAGTTAAATTATCTCAGGTTGACCCCCACCACACATTACATCACTTTGAATGTTAGAGCTTTTGTTCTGTATATTGTTTTAAACCTGGAAAAATCTCCTACAAAATCGCAGAATGAAGTTGCGTCAAACTATCCTACAAAATGACATTGAATTCTACTTCACTTGGCGACTTACTCTTCATAGCTGAGGTTCTCGAGGGTGTAAACCCCAACATAAGTAATATTTATGGTGCAACCTCAGGAAACTCTGTCATAGAGTTGGTTGGGAAGTTTCTATACAAATCAGACAGAGGTCAGCTGCATGCTGGTGAAATAAACACCACAGCAATGTAAAGATGTGATCCTCCTGCTGGCAGCTTTATCTTGTAGCTATATTATGTGTGTATTATGTTTAAGGGTAGTAGCTGATAACACTGCTGAATGCACCTAGGGCTAACATGGAAAATAATAAGGGGGGAAACACTGACAGGTCATCGGCACCATGCCGACAATGCAAAGTTGCCCTATAATTAACATGGGTCTGTTATGTTCCCAGAGCCCCTGTCCTCCTATGGATTACACAAGTTAAGAAGTGCCAACAATAAGGTGCAAATAACTCACTTTTGTTTTGTGCAACGGTTTTATTTTCTTTATTTTTTTTTAGCACAGTGTTTTCCCTCTCTGTTTTTTTTTAATATGTAGGCAGACTAAAGACAATAGTTTATTTCTTGAGAGCATACGTTTCTTTGTTAAGGCTTTTCAAATCCGGTCAATTAATTATTCCAATATTCAGAGCCGGGTAACGCCTAATTAAAAGTGGGCCCAACATAATTTAAAAGTACCAGGAATTTAATGTAGTTTGGTTCAGTTGGAGCTTTAGTCTAACTTGTGAATATATAGCATATGGGTTATCAAACTTTAAAATACATAATTTCTTATAATCTTTATAAACGTAATGTATGTTATTGCATTCAAACTTACAATGGGGTCATTTAGGAACCACATTTCCTTCTAATATGCAGTGGAAACAAGGTGAAAGGATTATATTAAATTGGATTAGTGGATTGTTTAAACAGAGGTATGTTGATTTTGAAATATACATTTACCGTTGTACTGAATAACGTTGAAAACATTGGATATTGGATAGTTTAAACGGATATGCATCCTTTTTACTAATCATATGTTTTCCAAAGTAAATACAACATATTAAGGCTGTTGACTATAAAGAACGCCTTTAGAAATAGTGAATTGGAACCATAATATAGTTTAAAATAGAAATAATGAATTTGACTCAGGTCACATGACAAAAACACAAACATACTTTCTCTCGTTGTGTCTCTTTTTGTTTTTGTTTTTACTTATTTTTTATTTTTCGTCAATTAAAAATGAAGTTGACATCATAGTAGAAAGTGTAGCACAAGTGGTGGGCGAATAGAGGAAGTGGGATGGAGCTGCGGTAAAACTCACTCCTGATTGGCTGTTGCTGGTTTTCTGAGCGTTGTGGAGGTGTTTAAATAGCCAATCAGGTCGCCTATCCTCAGTATGTGTAGCAGCAGCATTGAACTGACGGCCCTCTCTCGGTGGAAGACCGCGTCCGAGTGACACTGCCTCGTCTCTGCTCTAACCCACTTAACTCAAGTGCCATGGAGGAATTAAGTAGTTGACGTTTCCTGTTGTAACCTTCTCTTTTTAAGCTTTCTTCCCGTCCGATCACTGCGATCCTGAACCGGTTTATTGACGTTTTTGAACCCTTCTGTCTACAAGCTTTAACCATCCGAAATCATGAAGTACATCATCGGCATCGGCGGGTGAGTTCCTATGGATGTATGAACGGAGGCTATGCTAAGCTAGCTGGCTAACTGGAGCT